TAAAATATTCTGTATATTTTGGGATGGCAACTATAAGGATATATACATGACAGGGCTTCAAAATGTGGGAAATGGAATTAATAGATAATAAAATCTTTCCACGAAAAAAAAAAATAGTCTCTTCTATCTTGATATCATCTTGGCTCCTTTTTCATCTGGAAGTTCTATAATTACATCATTTATTCCTTCTTTTGCTTTTTCGTTGAAATTATTTACAAATTGTTGTCTCTGATTTTGTATTTTCAGTATTGTATGTCTAGTTTTATTTTGATGCAGTCTATATCTGGGTTAATTTCTAGTGATGTTGTCATATTTTAATCTCAGGTTGTTGTCAGCCATTGTTGGTTCTCTGTCCAAAGGACTCCTTTCAGCATTTCTTATACTGTTTGTTGGTTTTGTTTTTTTAATTCCCATAACTTGGTATGTCTAGAAATTTTCTAATATCACCATCATATTTGAGGTGATATTTTTCTGGATATATAATTTGTGTTTGGATTTTTTCCCCTCATCCATTGCCCTCTTGCCTGTGCAGTTTCTGCTGAGAAATCAAAGTGTAGTATTATTCGTTCTCTGTTGATAGATGTTTTTGTTTTTTCCTTGTTCCCAAAGTTGCTTTCAGCATTCTTTGTCTTTGGATTTGGAAAATTAGATCATGGCGTGCGTTAGTGATTTTCTTCTAAGCTGTATCCTGTTTGGAGTTCATTGAGGTCTTGAATGCTTATATTGTCAGGGTTTCTTTTGGGTTTTTTTGTTTGTTTGTTTTTTCATGACATTGGGGATATTTTTCTTCCAATAACTTTCTTGCAGCTTTTAAAAAACATCTTTCAATTTCACTCATTTTAATTTTATTCATTTATTTAAATATGAACACTACAAATTTGTATGCCATCCTTCCTCAGGAGCCATGAAAATCTTTCTGTATCATTCCAGTTTTACTATATGTGCTGCTAAAGCAAACAGAATTCCTAATATTTTAGTGATTATCCTCTGGATTTACATTTGATGGTTTCTTTTTTTTTT